TCTGGGCTCCCCAGTTCAAGAAAGATGAGGAACTCCTAGAAAGAGTCCAGAGGAGAGCAACTAGGATGATAAAGGGACTGGAGCACCTCCCCTATGAGGAAAGGCTGAGAGAGTTGGGCTTGTTCAGCCTGAAGAAGAGAAGACTGAGAGGGGACCTTATCAACACGTACAAGTATCTTAAGGGTGGAAGTCACGAGGACGGAAGCAGTCTGTTTGCAGTGGTGTCCAGCAACAGGACTAGGGGCAATGGGTGCAAACTGAAACATAAGAGGTTTCAGTTGAATATGCAGAAGAACTTCTTTACTCTAAGGGTGACAGAGCACTGGAACAGGCTGCCCAGGGAGGTTGTGGAGTCTCCTTCTCTGGAGATATTCAAAGCCCGCCTGGATGAAGTCCTGTGCAACCTGCTCTAGGTGAACCTGCTTTAGCAGGAGGGTTGGACTAAATGATCTCCCGAGGTCCCTTCCAACCCTTGCGATTCTGTGATTCTGTGTAAAGCAAGATTCAACAGTCAGTGGTATAAAGACCGCTTTGTTACAATCTAGCAATGGCACTCTCTCCAGCTGACTGACCTGATTGCCTTGAAATTAGGATCCTGCCACGCTCTGAGGCTCAAATAGATTCAGTACCACATTAAGCAAAACCAGTGCCAGACTTGGACAAGGCTGATCATTATAGAGCTCTAGAGGTAAAATTATCAACTTAATTTTTAAAATATTTAGATATTCTTATGCCACTTTAAGAAATTATCTAAGCTACATCTTCAACATTGTGCCATACTTCACAAGAAATTGCCTTCTTTTCCTCTTCTAGATTATTCGTTGGGTACCTCTGCATGCCAGGCTGTGCGCAGCACAACAACCTGGCACTAGCCTGATCATTGTAATTACGATGACGAGCTGATTAGGGTATCATCTGGTACCTCCTAATCTTTGTGTGCAGATACTGTGCAGAGATACAGAGTGGTCTGAGACTGAAACCCATAAAATACAGTATCTACCCTGCAGTTACATGAGTACAGCAGGTATATAACATCCAGAAGTGCAGTGCAACAGGCAACTGTTCAACATGCTTGATTCCAAGGTGTGACAGGCTTGGACCTTCAGCACTTTTGGGGAAATATTTTTGGGGAAAGATTTTTTCCTTAAGGAACCAGTGAAGGACCTCCCCCTGCCTTTCTTTTTCATTTGATAATGTCCTTATTTTCTAGACTGTGAATAAAACTCATCACCTGAGCTGGCATTCCTTGGATTTGTTGTTGTTGTTTGGGGCATTTAATTTTCTATTATGTTCCTCTCTTTGGCTGGCTAGAGAAGTCAGGCACTTTTTTTAGTAAGAGGGAGAGATCAAATTCTTGGTGCTTATGAAAGGTGCTGAGCTACTGAGAAACCTAAATTGCAGTAGAACCTCTTAATTAATGACTTCATCTTACTTGGAAATTTTTGCTGACAAAAAATTTTCAGCATAATTCAATAGTTTTCATTTAAATGGTGGTTTCATTTTGGTAAACAAACATTCAGTAAAGATATTACAAATGTATGTATCTCACACAGGTGAACTAAAGGTAACTTACTTCACCATATCTATTAGTCCACTTGGAATCTACTTTGAGTTTATATAAAGAGTTAAAAACTTGGAAAATTTGCCAGGGTGTTTCCAGGCAGAATTTTCTGTAGATTTACACTGTTTATGAACTCGGTGTCTGCATCCACAGTGAGTGAAAACTTCAGAAATGTATAATTACAGAGATGGCGTAAAATGGGAAATCTCCTAATTAGTCCTAAGTCACTACACAGAAAAAAAAAATCAACAAAACCCAACCAAGCAAAACCCAAACCAAAACAAATAAAGCTATGGTAATTATGAATGGAAGCAACAATCTCAGTTATTTTCAAATATTGTTTTTGTGGTGTTAACTTTTCCATTCTCTTCCAATTTTTGTACTGAATATGATATCAAACTGCATTTAAGTAGGAGGGAGATTGCAACTTCATTTGCCAGGTAAGGGAGCATGAAGAAACACATTTCTGTGTGAAGATTAAGTATTGTAAATTGCTATAGTGCTTGGAACAAAATGTGAATAATGAATTGAAGTAGAGATTTTTCTCTTGGTGTTTAATAATTCATTCTGAATTGTAAAAAGAGTTATTTCTTCTATTGAAATATATGGGGCTATGCTATGGTAGTACTCTCGATTTATTATCCTTGCCCAACAGATTTGCCAGAAAAAATTTTTTACTTTGATAGAGGTATAAATTGCATTGAACACTGGGAAGGCTCAGGTCAGAAAAGTAAATAGAACAGCACTGAGGCTTCCTTCTGAAGGAAATTTACAATGACAGTACCAACACTTTTGTCTCTGACCTTTAAGCAATACCCAGATTCTTGCACCTTGAGGTGAAGAAAATTCCTGCAGAGTTCATAACATTCAGAAAATACACATTATTTATACAAGTTCATATATCTTATTATCTTTGTTTCTACTACCCAGGACACTTCTGAACTTGAGTGTGGGTGAAGAACTGAGTTTTAGCTAGATAAATGAAAGAATGTTTCTACAACTATACAGACATTTTAGGGATCTGTGGAATGCACATTTAATGAAAAAAAGAGACATTCACAGGAAGATGCTGTAGATGTGCTTCAGCCACTGTTGTGGACAGTGTAGGCAAATTTGAGATATCAAGAACACATTGAAATACAATCCTTAACTCATCTGTTGTGAGTGATTGAACTAGGGGTGGAATGTAGCTCACTGACCGTTACACTCCTAAAACAGAAAAAAGTTGAAAAGAGATGGGCAAGGGTGTTGTGCCCATGAAGCTCAGTGAATAATGCAGGGTGTGACTGACCACAGCTGTTGTAAAGAAACTGACATTTTCTCAACACAAAAGGGGCCAAAAAGTGACCTTTCTTTCAGGTAAGCCCTTACATGTTACTTAAATCTGTATTGTGTTATGCAATATATTCTTTGTATCATTCCACTAAATCAGAAATCCCGTATAACGTCAACTATCTTCAAATATGGGTATTAAACATTGTACCCTCTGTGGTTGGAATATCTACAAAAACCTGGTCAGAGAGCGTCAGATGGTTCTGACATCTGTTTATAACATATTTACTAAAACATACTACATCTGAATTCCTATCCCACCCCTCTGGAATTAATGTGTCTATTTATTGTTTTTCTTTTGTTGTTTTCCTTTCCAGTTTCCTTCTCAGTTTTGTGGGACAGATCAAGTTAATACAAGCCATCTATGGTAGAATTCAACCTGAATGGTTGCTTTGACTTTTAACAGTTTCCCTTGTCAGATCTTAGCAGTCCAACAAACATGGAGATTTTGGCTGCAGAAACTTGTTTTGAAAGCGAAAGAGAACAAGCAAGTATTCATTTCCCTCCCTCACCCCTATGTTGAAAGAGGGTCTTGAAAGACTTGTTTCAATATGTTAATAGCAAGAAGGGCTCTAAGGAAAATATTGGACCAATACTCAATGAAGATGGTTACCTGACTAATAGGGATGAAGAAAAAGAGAATCAAAGAATCATAGACTCATAGAATGTTTTGGGTTGGAAGGGACCCCTAGAGGTCATCTAGTCCCACGCCCCCTGCAGTGAGCAGGGACATCTTTAACTAGATCAGGTTGCTCAGAGCCCTGTCCAACCTGGTCTTGAATGTTTCCAGGGATGGGGCCTCCACTACCTCTCTGGGCAACCCGTTCCAGTGTTTCACTACCCTCAGTGTAAAGAATTTCTTCCTTATATCCAGTCTAAACCTACCCTGGTTTAGTTTAAAACCATTATTCCTTGTCCTGACACAGCTAGTCCTACTAAAAAGATTTTCCCCATCCTTCCTATAGACTCCCTTTAAGTACTGAAAGGCCACAATCAGGTCTCCCCACAGCCTTCTCTTCTCCAGGCTGAACAAGCCCAACTCTCTTAGCCTGTCCTCATAGGAGAGGTGCCCTAGGATCATTTTTGTGGCCCTCCTCTGGACCCGCTCCAACAGTTCCATTCCATGTCCTTCTTGGTGCTGAGGGCTTGAGAGCTGGATGCAGTACTCCAGGTGAGGTCTCACCAGAACAGAGTAGAGGGGCAGAATCACCTCCCTCAACCTGCTGGCCACGCTTGTCCTGATGCAGCCCATGGTACGGTTGGCCTTCTGGACTGCCAGCGCACATTGCCGGCTCATGTCCAGCTTTTCGTCCATCAGTACCTCCAAGTCCCTCTCGGCAGGGCTGCTCTCAATCCTTTCTTCCCCCAGACTGTATTGATGCTGGGAGTTACCCTGACCCAGGTGCAGGACCTTACACTTGGCCTTGTTGAACCTCATGAGGTTCTCACAGGCCCACCTCTCCAGCCTGTCCAGGTCTCTCTGGATGACACCCCGTCCTTCTGGTGTGTCAACCACACCACTCAGCTTGGTGTCATCTGAAAACTTGCTGAAGGTGCACTCAATCTCACGGTCTAGGTCATTCATGAATATATTAAACAGCACCAGTCCCAGTACGGACCCCTGAGGGACACCGCTCATCACTGGTCTCCATCCAGACATCAAGCTGTTGACCATTACCCTGTGGATACACTGACTGGAGGCTAGATGACATTATTCCAGTTTACAAGAAGGGCATGAGACCCAAGAAACTACAGACCTGTTAGTCTAACTGGAGTACCTGGAAAAATTATGGAGACGATCACACAGGGTGTTACTGAAATGCATTTAAAGCACAGTGCAGTCATCTGGCACAGTAAACATAGGTTCACAAATGGAAAGCCCTGTCTAATTAAAATGATATCTTTCTGTGATAAGGTCAGCCACCTAGTGGATGAAGGGAAGGTGGTGGATGCAGCTTTTCTGGATTTTAGTAAGACTTTTGATACCGTCCCTCACAGCAGCCTTCTGGACAAGTTCTCCAATTGTGAGAAGAGCAGGTACATGGTATGCTGGGTGATGAACTGGCTGAACGGCAGGGCTCAAAGGGTTATCATGAATGGGGCTACATCTGGCTGGCAGCCAGCCACCGACGTTGTTCCTCAGAGTTCAATTATAGGCACAGTTCTGTTCAATATTATTATCAATGATCTAGATGCAGGAGTTGGATGCACCATTAGTAAGTTTGGTGAAGATACCAAACTGGGAAGTGTTCATGACTCTCTGGAGGGATGAAGGGCTTCACAGAGGGATTTAGATAGACTGGATAGAGGGATCTAGATAGATTTGGCAGTGAATAATGAGATGTAATTTAAGAAGTCCAAATGCCAAATTCTCCACCTGGGACAGAGTAACACTGGGCACAAGTATAAACTGGGAGAGGAGTGTCTGGAGAACAGCCCTGCAGAAAGGCACTTGGGTGTGTTGGTTGATGGTAAGCAGGGTGCCCTGGCAGCCAAGAGGGCAAACCACATCTTGGGGTGCATCAAACACATTATAACCAGCTGGTAAAAAGAGGTGATTATCCCGCTGTATTTAGCATTGATCCAGCCTTGCCTTGAGTATTGTGTGCAGTCCCAGGCCCCACAATTTAAGAAGGATGTTAAAGTCTCTGGGTGCATCCAGAGGAGAGCAGCAAACCTGGTGGAAGGGCTGGAAGGCATGTCCTGTGAGGAGTGGCTGAGGACTCTGGGGTTGCCTAGTTTGGACAAAAGGAGGCTGAGAGGTGACCTCATTGCTCTCTGCAGCTTCCTGAGGAGGGGATGTGGAGAGGGAGGTGCTGATCTCTTCCTGGGAGGCAGTGATAGGACACCTGGGAATGGTTTAAAGCCACATCAGCGGAGGTTTAGACTGAGCATTAGGAAGCATTTCTTTACTGAGAAGGTGGCCAAACACTGGAGCAGGCTTCCTAGAGAGGTGGTTGATGCCCCATGCTTGTCAGTGTTTAAGAGGCATTTGGACAATGTCCTTAACAACATGAACGTTTGGTTAGCCCTGAAGTGGTCAGGTAGTTGGACTTGATAATTGTTGTAGGTCCCTTCCAACTGAACTATTCTCTTCTCTTCTCTTCTCTTCTCTTCTCTTCTCTTCTCTTCTCTTCTCTTCTCTTCTCTTCTCTTCTCTTCTCTTCTTTCCTATCCTATCCTATCCTATCCTATCCTATCCTATCCTATCCTATCCTATTTACTATGGCATCTGTACATAAGTAAGATCATATTTTTATCATGCCCTAAAATGCTTAACCTACTTGGATACATAAGATAATTCATAGCTGAAAATTCATGCAGAAAAGTATTATTTTTGTGCTTAAAATCCAGTTATCTGTTTCATTTCTGATTTAACTGTGTATTGTAATTGCTGTATTTTCCTACACATAGGTTACATTTTTATTGTCTTTTTTTGTATATTTTATGTTTGTCCTGGTTTGGCTGGGATATAGTTAATTTTGTTCTTAATAGCTGGTATAGTACTGTGTTTTGGATTTTGGCATTGGTCAGCAGGTGGTGAGCAATTGCATTGTGTATCACTTGTTTTGTGTATTCTGTATATTTTATTATTATTATTAATGATTATTATTACTTTTTTTTCCCTCTACCGTTTTATTAAACTTTCTTCATCTCAACTCACAGGTTTTACCTTTACTGCCTAATTTGTGGGACAACCTGGGAAAAGGAGGCTGGGGTGTGTATTAGAGAGGTGAATGGAGCTGCCTGCCTTGTGCAGTGGTGAACTGTATGTGAGGTTGCTGCCAGGTGAACCTGCACATTGAGGCATTTGGGTCTCACTGGCAATGACAATAGAAAAGTTTCTCACACTTCATTATTCTTTTTAAAGCAGATCAGTTTCCTGACCATTGTTCATGGCCACATAAAAAGTTATGGCAGAACAGTCAGATGTTATGGAAAATTGCTTACCCCATTGCATCTTCACTTTCATTTCACAGTGGTATTCAGTCCAGTTTATCAGATTTTAAATGATCATAGAATCATAGAATGGTTTGGGTTGGAAGGGATCTTTAAAGGTCATCTAGTTCAACCCCCCTGCAATAGGCAGGGGCATCTTCAACTTGCTCAAAGCCCTGTCCAGCCTGGTCTTGAATGTTTCTAGAGATGGGGAATCTACATCTCTGGGCAGCCCATTCCAGTGTTTCACCACCCTCCTTGTAAAAAATTTCTTCCTTATATCTTGTCTGAATCTACCCTCTCTAGTTTAAAACTATTACCACTTGTCCTATCATATGATGTCTAATCTCCTTCAATGTTGCCTACAGTATTCTCATTTATTTCATGAAGACTAGAGTGTCAGCTTTCAAAATCACAGTTTCAGGTATACTGTTCTTTGAAATGTAGAAATACATGAACACAAACAGATCTTTTAAACAAAGAATTATCTTGAAATAAATTAAGATGGAGACCTCAATATTTGTGTTACTTGTTTAAGAATTTATACGAGTGCTAATTTATGTTAAGCACCTGCTGGCCAGAATTTAACATTAAGATGTTATATGTACTTCACATGCTTTCAGCACAGGGTCAGAAAGCCATTTAAATTAAATCTTCCTCAGAAAGAATCTTTTTCAGTTTCACTAGGTAGTTGCTGAGGTCTTATGTTATGCTGAATGTAAAGGAAAAATGCTTCATATATTTCTAGTGCCTACATATTGCTTTAAAGGAATTTTAATGAAGACATTTGGAGTTATTTTATATTGTTCTTCTTCTGATTAATCTCAGATTGCAGCAAATTGTATAAACTAGTTTTTCTTTTCATATACTCTGATATAAAAAATAGAATATCTTGCTTTCTTGGCATTAGATCCAGAGGAATAAGCATACTCAAGGTTTTGAAATGTTGTTCAGTGAAAGCGTGTTGAATTCAAAATGTGATGTGTGATGGATTTTGCTTTATTACCACTACAAAATCTTAATGTTGCCATATGAATCACTGGGATGCATGTCATTCTTGTTGGTTCTTGTATCAACTTTGAGGTTACCCGAAGGATCACGCAGACACCCTGCCGTCTGCGGGTCAAGGAAACACAGCATACACAGTATGGATGCTCGAAGTGACTCAGTTTAATTTCAAGCCCTAAGTTTTATAGCAAAGCCACATTCCAGTCCTGCCAATCACTGTGTGGTCACGGTGATGCCCTCTTGCTCCTCCTCTTCTTGACTTTGCGGTTACTGCCCACTCGGCTTCTGCATTTCTTGCATACCACAATTATATTTTGTTATTGTTGTTGTTGTGTATGCAGATAGTTTTTAGACTCCAAAGGAGGTAACCTGTAATAGTGGGTGGTAAGAAGCAAGATTGTTCTCTGAGCCCTCTTGGGTATAGAAGAATTAGTTCAATACTGTATTCCTTAAAGGGCACCTCAGGCCTAGGACAGTTCCTCTTATCCTCTACAGATGTAAGGACAGGAGTGAGATCATACATTCTGATGTTGGTAAAAAATATAAGCCTATGAAACAACCAGTGCTCTGTTACAGTCTGCCATTGTTTATGGTCCAATGTAAGCTCCATATACACTTTTATTTCCCTATACTTACCTATAGAGAACCTTACCCCATGTAACCATATGATAAATTCATCTAATTACTGTAACTAAAAAATTCAAATATATAAGCAAAGAGATTAATTCTTGCATTTCAAATAAATTAAAAATATAAAATATAGCTTGACAGGACAAACACGTTTGTGACACTCTCATATTTTATTTTTCATTTTCTAAAGGTTACTTACTGACTCATTTGAGTTAATTGACTGTGTTCAGACCACACATAGTGGCCATTTCTTCCCTGTCTTCTCTTTTTAACTCTATTCCATGGACCTGATTATATACTTTTCCCTAAATTTTAAGTTGTTTCCTCTTTCTGACATTAGAGTTTTACTATTTTTTTTCTAGATACATCATCTTCTCTACTTCCCATACTTAAGAAAGCTATAAATACATAGAAGTCTTGAATTCACATTGACATTGTCAAGCATCCTTTTGTACATCTATGGACTTTTTTTTAAAAGGCTTCCAGGAAGTGAGATAAAATTTCAATACAGCTGTACCAGACATAGTGACTTATTACTTTTTCTCAATGTTATTTTATAGTTTTTTATGTACAAAACTCCATACCATTTCTATCTGGGTACGGGTATTGGGTTTGAATGGCTAAGTTTTAGTAGCAGGGCAGGGTACAGAGGTGGCTTCTATGAGAAGCCTTTAGAAGCTTTGCCCATGTCCAGTAGACCCAATGCCAGACAGCTCCAAGACAGACCCACTGCTGATCAAAACTGAGTCAACCAGTGATGGTGGTAGTGCCTCTGTGACAACATACTTAAGAAGAAGGAAAAAAACATGTACATTTACAGCCAGAGAGAGGTGTGAGAACATGTGAGAGAAACAGCCCTGCAGACACCAAGATCAGTCAAGGAGGAGGGAGAGGAGGTGCTCCAAGCACCAAAGCAGAGATTCCCCTGCAGCCCATGGTGAAGACCATGGTGAGGCAGGCTGTTCCCCTGCAGCCCATGCAGGTTCACAGTGGAACAGATCTCCACCTGCAGCCCATGGAGAACCCCATGCCAGAGAAGCTGGATGCACCCAAAGGAGGCTGCGGCCCCATGGGAAGCCCACACTGGAGCAGGTTTGCTGGCAGGACTGGTGACCCAGTGGGGGACCCACGCTGGAGCACTCTGTTCCTGAAGGACTGCACCCCATGCAAGGAACAAATGCTGCAGCAGTTCATGAAGAACTGTAGCCTGTGGCAAGACTCACATTGCAGAAGCTCATGGAGAACTGTCTCCCATGGGAAGGACCGCACGCTGGAGCAAGGGAAGAGTGTGAGGAGTCCTCCCCCTCAGGAGGAAGGAGTGGCACAAGGAGAGACAATGTGTGACAAACTGACCCCAACCCCCATTCCCAGTCCCCCTGAACTGCTCAGGGGGAAGAGGTAGAGAAAATTGGGAGTGAAGCTGATCCTGGGAAGAAGGGAGTGGTGGTAGGAAGCTGTTTTAAGATTTGGCTTTATTTCTCATTATCATACTCTGATTTCTTTCAGAATAAATTTAATCTGACTTCCCCAACTTAAGTCAGTTTTTATCTTGACCCAGGAGCCTTTTGTTACATTTTCTGTCCCTGTCCAGCTGAGGAAAGGAGCGATAGAGCAGCTTTGGTGGGCACTTGGCATCCAGCCAGAGTAAACCTGCCACACTATCTTTTAAAATAGTATTGTAATAAAAGAAAGTGAAGGGTAATGTACATTCTCCTTTTGTATTTCAGTTTTGTTTTTTTGTTTTTTTTTTTTTTTAAAGAAAAGTGAGAATAGGAGATGTAAAACAAAAATAGCTGCCCAAGGGAAAGGGGATTTTATATTTACCACACAATGAAGCCTTTGTTTTTCTTCCTTAACAATTATCAAAACTCTGTACCATTTGGTCTGTTGTGTAAGACTTTTTTTTGGTTAATACTTGTGGAACACTGAACTGAAGCTGTGTGCACTAGCCAATGCATCCAAATAACAGCTTGCTGCTCACACATGCATTGAGTTTTATCTGTGACTAATGAATAAAATGTTCAAGCTTTCACTATACATAAAACATGGCTTTACATTTTTCACATGAATATGCATTGGACTTAACATGAACACATATGCACTGTGTGCAGAGAAAGTTAACAGAAATTTCTACCTTTTTTATCATATGTATAGTTTATTTAAAACTTTGAGGGAAACATGCAACCTTTGACTCTATTTTTTCTGCCAGCTTATAATAAGGAATACCTTTTGAAAATTACATTTATTCTTCTCTATTGATATTGTTGTAGTTGTAAACTTTATGTGTCATCTAGGTTTTCTTGTTTAATCAGAAATCATATTTTATATGTTAATTTTACCCTTCATTGTTTGCTCTGTGGTTTGTTTTTAATCAACGTCTTTTATAAGGGCTTGTGGAGGATTCTAGAAACCATTATCCCTTTGTGATTCTACATTGTAATGAACAATATTTGTAACACAATATTTTCCTTAAATCCATGGATATTATTGTTGTATGTATTTTCAAAGACTGCTAGAGTGCCTTCATGTAACTGAATTAAATATAGTTTAATTAACTTAAAGTAAATTGAATTACTCATTAGCAGTAATAACTTTAAGCTTTAGAATGCATTTGAATTGGGAAAAGGATTTGAATACCTGGCTTTACAGCTCTAGTGTGGTACAAAATTAATTAACATTATACATATCTTAGCTGCTTTCAAGACATGCACAGATGGGATCACAAAACTAGAAAGATAAGGAGCTCTGAAAATCTCTTTTTTAATTTACTAATTAAAGAAGGTATTTGTTATTGTGAGCAACTGAGCTAAAACAAGATTAGCTGTTGAAGAAAAAAAATGAACCAACCCTACAGAAGTATTAAGGACTGAATCATAAGTTATCTGACAACATTATTTTACTTGATGTCAAATTATTTTTATTGTAATGAAAGTAGAAGAAGAAAGGGCAGTGTTCTTAATCTTAGTGAAAGTCCTTTTTCCAAAGCAATTAAATTATGTGATTAAAATGAAAAAGAAGAAAGACATGTAGGAAACATAGATTTCTTTCTAACTTGACCTATTTCCTTAACATACAGTTGCACCTTTCATTTTGTTAAAGTAATTATCAGGTCTACCTTTAAGTTCTCTTTTGAAAATAATGATTTCTAAATTTATAGATTCTTGATCACTGTGTGAGTTTATGCTCTCTTTTTGCTTTATTTTTTAACAGCATGATGAAAAAATTGCTGTTAATCCTAAAGCATGTTTATATCAGATATCACAAGTAGAGAGGAGCTGAACTAACCTATGAGATTATTTGGAAAGTCATGAAAAAATACAATACAAAAGAAACCTATAGAAACTTGATAGAATCTGCATCCTTTCAGAATAATTTTGAAATTTTAATAATGAAACAGGTTACTAAAACCAACCAAAGATAGTTCATCTTGCTTAAGAGACACTCAAGAAAAAACTGTTGGTATTGCTGAAAGTATAAAACTGTAGGGTTAGCAAAAGCAGTAAGTAACATATCAGGCTGGGACAGTGTTGTCTGAGGGTACCACTCATGGCAGCTAGAGCAAGACAGTAAAAGAACACCCATTTTTCTGACAAGGTATATGTCAGGCCTGCAGAAGTGTAGGGATCATCACCTGCTCACCATTGCATAACATCACTGTTTGCCAGATGATTTTCTACCTAATAGGATAAGAGTGCTTCCACTCAGAACAATTAAATTCTCCTGTGATAGCTAGTCTACATCTAGACCTACAGTGTATAAGTACATTTTAACATATATAGAAATATTGAGACAATGGAATTACAAATAAATATATTGGTTTGGGTAATACATCTACTGGCAAAACTGAAGGGGAATCTTTATTGGCTCATGTGAAGAAGCAAGACAACGATGTTTTTTGGAGACCACTCAGGGGATCACTTTGGATATGAGATCAGTTTGTCAAACAAAGTACAGATTTTGAAGAAAGGAATTTAAGCATATCAAAGGTGAATAGGAGAGGACGAGGGATTGAAGAAGAGGACATCATCCCATCACAGGCAGGATAAAAATTTTCATCAGTGATCAGAGGAACACTGTGAACTGACTTTCAACCATGTCAATTTAGGAAGACTTGTCTCTGTTTTCATACGGAATAAGGTGTTAAATAAGTTAAATTAAACACTGACGTTACCAGATTAAAGGCAAAAAGACATTAAACAGTCACAAGTAGCACACTAGAGAAGGGAAGAATAATGCTAAGAAAGGAGCAGGGAAATTCTTACAAACCAGGAACAAACTCTAGACAACCAGGAAGGCAGTAAATGATGTAATGAAATGATACAATAAGAACGTAAAACCACAGTACACCAACAAGACTGTGACTGGAAAGATAAGAAGCATGTCAAACTACAGAGCCCATTTTTTTTAGAGAGATATTCACAAGTTGTGAACAATTGCAGTAATTTCTCAGTTTGTAGTTTAATACTGTATTTCTACTTTTCAGTTAGTTTATTCATATTAAGAAATTAGAAACATGTAGACATGGGGTGTTCATTTGTACATTCAGTCATAGACCCATAGAATGTTTTGGGTTGGAAGGGACCCCTAGAGGTCATCTAGTCCCACGCCCCCTGCAGTGAGCAGGGACATCTTTAACTAGATCAGGTTGCTCAGAGCCCTGTCCAACCTGGTCTTGAATGTTTCCAGGGATGGGGCCTCCACTACCTCTCTGGGCAACCCGTTCCAGTGTTTCACTACCCTCAGTGTAAAGAATTTCTTCCTTATATCCAGTCTAAACCTACCCTGGTTTAGTTTAAAACCATTATTCCTTGTCCTGACACAGCTAGTCCTACTAAAAAGATTTTCCCCATCCTTCCTATAGACTCCCTTTAAGTACTGAAAGGCCACAATCAGGTCTCCCCACAGCCTTCTCTTCTCCAGGCTGAACAAGCCCAACTCTCTTAGCCTGTCCTCATAGGAGAGGTGCCCTAGGATCATTTTTGTGGCCCTCCTCTGGACCCGCTCCAACAGTTCCATTCCATGTCCTTCTTGGTGCTGAGGGCTTGAGAGCTGGATGCAGTACTCCAGGTGAGGTCTCACCAGAACAGAGTAGAGGGGCAGAATCACCTCCCTCAACCTGCTGGCCACGCTTGTCCTGATGCAGCCCATGGTACGGTTGGCCTTCTGGACTGCCAGCGCACATTGCCGGCTCATGTCCAGCTTTTCGTCCATCAGTACCTCCAAGTCCCTCTCGGCAGGGCTGCTCTCAATCCTTTCTTCCCCCAGACTGTATTGATGCTGGGAGTTACCCTGACCCAGGTGCAGGACCTTACACTTGGCCTTGTTGAACCTCATGAGGTTCTCACAGGCCCACCTCTCCAGCCTGTCCAGGTCTCTCTGGATGACACCCCGTCCTTCTGGTGTGTCAACCACACCACTCAGCTTGGTGTCATCTGAAAACTTGCTGAAGGTGCACTCAATCTCACGGTCTAGGTCATTCATGAATATATTAAACAGCACCAGTCCCAGTACGGACCCCTGAGGGACACCGCTCATCACTGGTCTCCATCCAGACATCAAGCTGTTGACCATTACCCTGTGGATGCGACCATCCAACCATTTCCTTAGCCACGAAACAGTCCACCCACCAAATCCACAGGTCTCCAATTTAAAGAGAAGGATGTTGTGGGGGACCATGTCAAAGGCTTTGCAGAGGTCCAGATAGATGATGTCCGTTGGTTTTCCCTTGTCCACTGTTGTTGTCTCTCCATCATAGAAAGCAGCTAGGTTTATCAGGGAAGACTCGCCCTTGGTGAAGCCATGCTGGCTATCTCGAATTAGCTTATATATAGCAGAATGAAGTATTCATTTATTTATTTTTACTTAGGAGGATAAAACTCAAGAACAATAAAAATTTGCTGGGAG